GAAAGACGCGCTGGGTTCGAAAGGACCCACAGCGCTTAGAGATCCGTCTCTCCGTCTCCGTCTTTCTCTCCAACTTGGGCGGAAACCACCCAAGCCTTTTGTACGGCTAGCAAGCCAATAGCTAGCCGCCACGTGTGCCTAAATTAAGACCGGCCAGTAATGTGGCTCAAATCTCAATACAAATGGCGGGAACTCCTTTGCAGCGTGCATCACTAAATGCAAGAGTCATGCGCAATGCAAAGAAGGCTACAGAACGGCAGGAAGCACTTTTCTGCACGCTCTGCGGGCTCTCCATAACAACAGCACACTCCGTCGTGCAAAAGAGCTGCAATTCGGCGGGAACATAATTTAGCGGTGCCGAAGTGCACACAATCAAAAAATCCACAACTTTGAGTTGTGACAGTAACAAGAAAGCAGGTCTTGGCTGGACGTTGTCCCTGTGTGGGCAGGGTTCACAGCTGCTGCTTATGAAAGCTTGGGCCTCTGATGTAGTTGGTCTATAAGGTGTGACTCTACCCTGCTTGCTGCCAGCCATCCTGACGGCATCCTTTGTGCCGACGGGCTCCTTCCTGAGTGCTCGGGTGACGCAGACCCGCGCGCCCCGGGCGAGAAAACACAGAATTTTCTGCAATTGCGGCAAGAGCTTTTTGCAAGCGCTCGTGTCCTCTTCCAGCCGGGAGCCGAGGCTCTGGAGCGTGCAGCTCCCCACGGGCCCGGGGGACGCTCCCCAAAGCAACCAGGTGAGCAGCAGGTGCAGGCCTGGCCACGGCCACGCCAGAGCTGTTCCCGGAGGGGAAGGAGACCAGGACGTCACCCAAGGCAGGGGCCCATCAGAGCTCGTGTGATGCCCCCTGGGTTGCTCATCTGAGTCTTTGGCCCTGGGGATGGGGTCTGGAGGCCGAGGCGGGGTCGGTCAGTGGCCGTGGGCTTTGTCCGTGGCTGGAGGCGAGGCATCCTGAGGGCTGGGCTCCTGGCCTTGCAGAGGTGCCCGTCGCTCCGTGCCTTAGCCCTCATCCCGGCACGCGGCTCCGGTAAGAGTTGCAGCTGGGTCTTCTGGGGGGAGATGACGCATCCCCTGCCTAGTCCTGCCCGTGCCGACGGCCCTTTTGGGGAGGCTGTGACACCGTCTGGGGTCCATTGCCTGGCCCCGTGGGGTGTGCCACCCTCGTCCCCGCTCGCTCTTGGATCCAAGGCCATGGCCGTGCCGGGGAAGCACCCTGGAGGCGGGAGGGGAGCAGGAGCGGTCTCTCCTTGCCTGAGCCGCGGTGTATCCCTCAGCCCCGCGTGCAGCCGGGCACACGCGCAGACAATCACCACGTGCTTCGCCGAGCAAAGGGGCCCAGCTGTGGGCCAGCTGTCTGCGGGGAATCGAGGTTGGGACCCAGCACCCAACGGCCTGATATTCCTGACACCGGCTGCAGATCTTTTCAGCCCTGCAAAATGAAGACGGGGCGAGTGTTTTATCCCCCCGTGCACAGTGCGAGCTGTCCGGGGCAGGAGGCTGGGGGTCTCCGGCCCTCTCCTTTATGCATGGGGTCACTCTCCTGCTCCTCAGCATACTGGCTCGACCAAGAAACCGGCTCCTGTTTCCACCCCGTTCCCCTGTTTCTTGCGTTGTGCTCTGGAGAGATGCCGCGGGGACTGCAGGGAATATGACGCTGTTTTTTAAAACTCTGTTTCTTTTTCATTGCAGCATTGGCTGGAGTTCACTAAGTCTGTTGTGAAGCAGTTGAGGTGTAAGTATTGCATCTGCTATGTCTGAGTGTGCAGCTATCCGACAGGGCATGCACACGTGCCCCATGATTGTATTAACGTTGCCACGTGGGTGGGACGCTTGAATCATAGGGCTAATCCCCTGTGGACAACGTGCTGTTTGAGCCTCCCTCCAGGCACCCCGTTAAACTGAAAAGGGAAATTCTCTCGGGTCTGAATTGGGCCACAAATTGTAAATATTTCTGCATTGCACGTGCAAAACCTGCCTTTGCTCGCATCGGGCACACACACATGTGATCTGAGCGAGCAAAGGGGAATGTGCAAGCATAGTCACCTGTTTTGCAAGTCAAAGCAAAGATTTGCTGCCTGCAAAGCAGATCGAATCCCGGATAATGTTGGGGCAATCCAGGCAGCGCAGTGCAAACCTGCTCCAACATGTTCAGCCTTTTGGATGGACCGGATATTCCTTGATTTGCCCCTCGGGTGCATCCCCCCAGGCCAGTGCTCTGCTCCAGGGGCTAGTGCGAGACGGCCAGGGCGTTGTGTGGCCAGCCCCCCACCTCTGTCCTTTCAGCCTCCCGCTTTCCGGTGGGACCGCAGCAGGGAGCCGTCTCTGTGGGAGCACGGGGATGGCTCCAACGCGCAGCGGCTGTGCAGCCAGACGAGATAGGATGGAAGATGCTTAGCTCGTCCCTCCATCCTGCCAGAGACCCGCTCGCAGTCGCAGTCTGGCCCTTTGTGTGCGTGTGTGTGAGCGTGCACGCATCCCCGCTGCGCTTGCCGAGCGGGGACAGACGGACGATTCAGATGGCAGGCAGGGTCCTCCACGTGGCCTCGGGGTCGGCAGGGCTCTAGGCTGGAGCTGAACTGTTCTCAGTGGGGGCAGAAGGAGCAATGGGCTCAAGCTGCAGCAAGGGAGGTTTAAGTTGGATGCTAGAAAAAAGCTTTCCCATGAGGAGGGTGGTGAAGCACCCCAGAGAGGTGGTGCAGTCTCCATCCTTGGAGGTGTTTAAGACAAAGCCTTGGCTGGGATGATGTAGCTGGGGCTGGTCCCACTTGGAGCAGGGGGCTGGACTAGATGTGACCCCCTGAGCTCCCTCCAACCCTCATTTTCTATGATGTTATGATGCAGCGGGCAGAGCAGAAGAGCGGCTTACATGGACG